GTCGGGTGCGCCTACGCATGAAAACGACGAACGCGCTACACATGTTGGGTATCGCCGCGAATGCCGGAGTGAGAGCAATAATTCTAGGGCCAGTATTTTGTTGTATCTCTAAATTGATGACCTGTGGGGGCTTTTAAAGCGTCTTTTATTGACTTTTTGGGGTACTGCAGTTTTTCGCCGTTTCACGGTCGCACGCAATCTGTAAACTGGGCATGTTGGGTATCGTTTTACTCGTTGTAACCTCATCTTTTATATTTCATTAAAAAAATTGGTAATTTGTTGTGTTTTGGGGCATTTAATTAAATTTGTCACTAAATTTTGGGGTTTAATAAGGAGTTGCGCTAATATTGCGCAACATAAAAATTTTCAACTACCACCATTTTATTCTATAGGGTCTTGGCATTCAGAAAATATATAATGTTGGGGGGTTTTACGTCATTTTCAGGCCTAAAATGTGGAATATAACATGGGTGCAAAAAATGAAAAAGGGCCTCAGTCATGAAGGGGTTAATCAAGAGTCTCCTTTGCAAGAGCATGGTTAGGAATAAAGAGGCGTGAGCTGTCAAAGTTTGTATCTCAATATTTCTACTGCACACAAAAGCATGAGATAAAAAGCAACATACACTGGACAGTTAGGCGACTGGGCTGTAAAACATAATACAAGGTGAGACTTCTTTAAAAGAACTATGGGGAGAGTACACTTATCCCTATAGCTAGAGCTGACATGTGACACTGCAGCCGTCACACATCAGCTCTGTTGATCAAGAACTGAGCAATTACAAACTGCTGATCGCTCAGTTCCCGATCTTCTCCCTGCAGAGAGGGGTGACCGTCAGGCACAGCTCCCTGCAGGGATTCCCCCCTCCGTTCCTCCAGCAATCATTGGAAGGACAGATGGGACAGAGTAGACACAGCTGGCTCTGGCTCTAGAGAGGCAGAGCCAGCTGTCAATCAGGTAGCTATGGGGACCCTGACAATATTGTTGGGATCCTTCCTGGCTGCAGCACACTAGCCTGCTATATGCTATGTTTTTGGTCACAGGAGGACATTAGTAAATATCCAACATCGTCTTAATATAATATGTACAAATTTACCACATACTCCAATTTTGGTGTTGGTTTGGTGAAAAACTCATTGAAAAGTTGATATTCATCTTGACATACATGCACCATGAATGCACAGCCACTCCGTACCTAGAATATAAAGAAGACAGCTCTGTAATTGACACCTATATCATCATTTAATAATTATATGATACTGGGATTTCAACAAAACCATGCACATGTAATAGCCAACTCTGACAGGGTCACGTCACCAGATTAGATGGTTGATGAGCATTAGCTTTAAAGCCAGCAACGGTCACAGAGCAGTCAATCACATGATATGCTTACCAAAGCACAGTGATCCCTATTGTTCTGGCTGGTGAGATGTGTGATTGTGCTGGTGATACTTGGACTAAGCAGGTTATCTCGCTGGTCGAGGTAGCACTGATGTATTTCAGCAAGGAGCAGTTGGTACCTATCACAGATCATTAAAAAGAATGTTCAGAAAAGTAAAGAAAGAAGGAGAGATTGAAACACAGTAACAAAGTGATATCATTATGAAGGTTAAATTAGTTAAACAGCCAAAAAGAAAATGTAAAACACATTTTTAAATATGTGAAACAGATACCATGAAAACATGCATGCTGCTACTGCCAACCTCTTGTAGTAAATAATTAAACATTTAGTTGAAATGTACCTTCTTGCAAATATTGGCAAACAATTCTGAGCCCTATCCCTCTGTAACATAAAATTGTATTACTTGTGGCTCCTGCTAAAACATCCCTTATTTTTCCTCTTCCTTGAACAAGGAGACAATGTTATTCACTCTGCAGTGAAAGTACTGAAATCACATAGTAGCACTCTCACACTGTGGACAGGATAGGCTTACATGGACGTAGTTTTAACCTCCTTGGCAGCAATCCCGAGTGTGGCTCGGGGTTCATTTTCAGCACCATAAGCTGCAACCCCGAGCCACACTCGGGATTACAGCGTAGCGTTACTTACCTTGTCCCTCGAGCCGCGCTGTGTCCTCCGGCCGATGCCGACACCTGTCTTCCGGGTTTCGTCCCTTGCGAGTGTTGCAAGGGGGCGGAACCGCCGGGAATTTTAAAAGTAAAAATAATGGGGAAAAAACCCCGGAAAAAAATAGAACAAAAAAAGGAAAAATTTTTTTTTTAGAAATCAGACCGCCAGGGAGGTTAAAAGGACTTTAAGACAAAAGTAAAGTCTGACTTCAACTAACACTTAATAACAAGCTTTTTTTGTCTTTCTTTTAAGGTTTAGGTCATCTGGTTTCTTCCAACCCCTCCAACTGTCACTTTTTCTGGACAGCTCGGCCTGTCACAAAAAATGGAAAACCAACAGATCGACTGGCAGTATTAACAGTAACAGATTGCATCATACATGTTATTTTTTATTTCACTGTAACCATCTGGAAATGTTTCCAATTTGGAAGTTACGGTACAAACTGAAGCCTCTTCATTTTAAATACAATTAGGGCTCATAAAAAGACCCAAACCCAGAAGGGACAGGTGCTGTGGGCAGCTGCGCGTGCAGCCCGTTCTTTCCTATGGTGGGGGGGACGTGGTGGAAAAAGCACCTGTTGTGGTGAGATTTTGCGTTGGAAAAACTGAAGCCGTCTGTGTCAAAGTGAAGACACCCAGACCGGCACAAATGTTCAGGATTGGGTGTATGTGTGATAGTGTGTAATTGTGCATAGCCGCTTCCTCCCATAGGCAAGGACAGGCTGCTGCGAGCAATTACATGCAGCACCTGTCCCTTCCAGGATTGGGTCTTTTTACGGGTGTGCACACTGTACAGACGCCCATCTGAATGAGCCCTAAAAGAAGAGTCAGAGAGTTGTACTGAGAGGGCTTGCAGATGGAACCATAGGGGAAGTCATGCAGCATTTCAAAGCACAGGCGGCGGCATTGAGAGGCACCACTGCACGTCACAAGCCACACTGAGGACTGGACTTGAAAAATGCTGAAACTGCTCTAATAACCAAGTACGTTACCTTTAATTCTTTAAACTGTGTATGGATGGGTTATTACCATATGCAGTAAATCAGGAGGTTTAATACCGGTACATTACAGGGTGGTGAAGGCAAGGTTTTAGAACCCAATTTACTTCTAAATGCTAGTTACCTGCCTATTATGCTGATCTAGAACTGTCAGTACTTTGAAGCACTGCTGTGGAATACATATGCAGATCAGGAATTCGGATGTTACCCTCACTCCAAAATCTGCAAGCTTAAAGTGACATTAAAAAGTCAAAAACTTTTTTCCCTCCCCCCAATGGTAATTAAAGCACTTACATTAAATGATGTCTCTTAATCCGATCTTCTTCTTTCCTGTCATTTTCAGCCTTCCCTCCAGCGCTGCTGCGGGTCTCCGATCCAGTGCTGACTACTCTGTCCTTGCTGGCACTTCCTGTCCCACGGTGTCTGCATACGGGTGCACGCGTCCATAGACTTACCTTGTGTCTCTCTATGTCTCCCGGCCGAAAATCCGAACCATGCATGCGCACGCCCAAAGATGCTTTGCGGCGCCCGAGCATTTTCAGACGGAGCGCGCAGCGAAGATAGGGGTAAGTTTAAACCGCTTCTAAAGCGGGTTTAAAAAAAAAACTTTTTTGCATACATCTACTGCTTGCTAGATATATGCAAAAAAGCGTGAGGGTTTAGAAACCCTGTGTAAAGTGTTTAAGACAGAGACAGTTTGGCATATAAGTATCCTTAGTAGGTCAGCGATAGCATCTTCTATAGTTCTCTCAGTGCAAGTTTCTTTAAACACTGGTGACTATGTATGTAAATGTTTCCATATCAATACTGAAAGTGAAATATTTCATATTTAAAAATATAATCTTATACAGTGTTGTTCCCACATGGAGCATCTACACTATATTGTCTGTGCAAAAATCAACAGCTGCATTGTCATTTCATGCTACACAGGAGACATCTAAGCTAAAGTACGAACTTTGAGAAGAAATGATTAATACACTTTGATTAAACTAAGACATTAATGAAAACAAGGAGTCACAAAGAGCAGCAAATTCTAACAGCAATGGAGCACATACTGTACAGCTCACACCTCCCTTACAGACAGAGCAAGGTGTTTGTGTATGACTTCTTTCCATTAACCACAATACTCACTCTGGTATTTTCTCAGATCGCTGCTCCATCTGTTCAATCAGCGTCTGCAGAAACAAAAGAGGACATGTAATAAGATTTTTACTACGGCATGACCAACAGCCTAAAGCATGCAAGTGAAATTTGTGCGGATTTCTTTTTTTTTTTATATATCATGCAGCCACATCATGCAGCTCTCAATACAAGGAAGACAGCATTTCATTATCACAGGGATTTTTTTCCCCCTTTATGTTAAAGTTCAATCCACCGATAACTGAAGACAGACAGACACACACAGACAGACACAGACAGACAGACAGACACACAGACAGACAGACAGACAGACACACACACACAGACAGACACACACAGACAGACACACACAGACAGACACACACAGACAGACAGACAGACACACAGACAGACACACAGACAGACACACAGACAGACACACAAACAGACACACACACAGACAGACAGACAGACAGACAGACACACACACACACACACACAGACACAGACAGACACACACACAGACACAGACACACACAGACAGACAGACACAGACACACAAACAGACACCCAGACAGACAGACAGACACACACAGACAGACACACAGACACACAAACAGACAGACACACACAGACACCCAGACACACACACAGACAGACAGACACACACACAGACAGACACACAGACACAGACACACACACACAGACAGACACACAAACAGACACCCAGACAGACAGACACAGACACACACACAGACAGACACACAGACACAGACACACACACACAGACAGACACACAAACAGACACCCAGACAGACAGACAGACACAGACACACACACAGACAGACACACACAGACACACAGACAGACACACACACACAGACAGACACACACACACACACAGACAGACAGACACCCAGACACACAGACAGACACACAGACAGACACCCAGACAGACAGACACCCAGACAGACAGACACACACACAGACAGACACACACACACAGACACACACAGACAGACACACACAGACAGACACACACAGACAGACACACAGACAGACACACACAGACAGACACACACAGACACACAGACACACACAGACAGACACAGACAGACAGACACACACAGACAGACACACAGACAGACACACACAGACAGACACACACAGACACACAGACACACACAGACAGATAACAGATGTTTATTGGCAGATAAACATGTCACAATGCAAATGGCTAGAATGTGTTTCCATATGTACTCCCAGAGATACCAAGTAGTTTTCTACTTATCATCTGATGAGTACACACAGGTAGCACCTATCCCTGCTGTAGGCTGCACATTTCAAGGTCAGGAGATAAGTGCAGGGCAGACCTGCAAGGAAATTTGGCACTCTAGTGTCAGCTAACAAATGCAATCAGTAGCAGAAGCATGTTGATTTAACCAACAGAATAGATAAACCTACTTCTACAGAATCTAGGACCATTGGAGAGACATAAGTGCATTTATTGGACTCGAGCTCCTTCAGATGAGTAGAGTGCTGGGATGAGTACAAAAGTGGATCTATGTTAAGATTCCTTTATACAAATTACTGAGACCAAAAATAGCATCCTATGGTAATCCCCAAACCTCTAACATCCGGACCATTGAATGATAATACTGTAAATTGCAGCTTGCACTATGGAAAAACTACTAAAAAAACAGGCATTACAATAGAATCCGAAGCAGAATCTGGAAGACCTATGAAAAAGACTAGAGTTCCACCTGCTGGTTGAAGTATTAATACTCAATATTTTGTATTTATAACAAAAAAAAGTGAATTGTATTTTTTTTATTCCTAAATATAATGCTTGCAGCATTTTTTCAGATCACACTGGACCAGTATGCAGGCACTGATGTGCCACACGTTCTGGTGCGGGCTATGGCACTGCGTGCGGGGGCGTGGCTGTGGTGCCATTGACTTCAATGTGCCGCCATGCCGCCTCCTGCCCCTAAATGAAGGAAGCCGGCCAGGTGCATTCCAGCAGCTGACCTCTCTGGAATGCACTGTTTATGGTGTGAACAAGAAACTGTACAAATAGGCAGTATACAAATGTAATGGCATAAGCGGTACTCTGGGACTGCAAAAACTGATGGGGTATAAGACTGACCAAGTTTAGAAACCACTGCACTGGTCAATAGAATATATTCTATATCACTGCAAAACACCAACACCTGCTCATGAATCCCACCAGACAGACTATACAAAAAAAGAGAACGAGACTGTCACATAATACTTACCCTGACCTTTGGAGCTGCTGCTCTAAATTTCACATAAAATAAAGTGAAAGCATTGTCAGAATTTGGGGTGTGTGATAAATCTTGCTAAAAAAAGAGAAAGAAAAACAAAAATATTTTAGTTTATTAATGTTGCGGCATAAACCGTGCATGGTTACAAACTAAGAAATACACTAAATAGGTACAATTTTTAAACCTTCCTAAGCTTACAACCATCGTATTAGGACTGCAACTAATGAATCGATTAGTTGGTCGATAATTTTTTTGATCAGATAATAAAAATTTACTTAAATTCTTGATTTTAAATAAACTACACAAACACAGTGTTACAAACGTAAAGTTTACTTCAGAATAAAACTGCATGCACAATTTTTTGCAGTCACACTGCACTGGAATGTACAGCATTGTTGTACCATGCATTCCAGTGCGGGCGATCACACTGTGGGTGGGATGCGCGTTTGTGGTTCCATTGAAATGAATGGCAGTGCAACGCCCCTCCCGCAGCAGAATTTGCCAGGCGGAAACCAAAAATGACTTTTTTCCCCAACTTTTATTTTGTTTTAAATGTAATAATTGTATTGTAAGCACATGGCGCCTGAATAGCTTCAGCCAGGGGATGACAGCTGCCAGTGGCAAGATTTCGCACACGCTGGGAGGAGGGCACAGCAGGTAGTGGGCTGGTAGAGCCTGCTATTGGCCATTTCATATTGCAATAGCCAATAGCAGGCTGGCTATTGCACCCGCCCACTGCTTGCTGTGCCCTGCTCCCAGCGTGGAGGAGAAAGCTAGGGGATCCAACCAACTAATCGATAATGAGAATAGTTGACAACTATTCTCATTATCGAATAATTGTTTGCAGCCCTACATCGTATGTTGATTTAGAAATAGATTTCAGCATTTTCCACTCATATTGGAGTCATTTAGTTAGTAAGCAAAGCAATAAAATGAAATTTTAAAAACTGGTTCTACCATGTGTACTGAGTACCAGAATGTAGCATGGCAATGTACAATTATAAGGGTAAAAGTTTCATATGCAATTAGAGCAACTTTCTTTCTACAGATCTCCTGCCTCATAAGCTTTGAGAACATGGATGCTATTAATGGGTCATTCCCTGCAAAACTAATACTGTAGTGGTGGGTTCAGTTACCCACTAGATTTTTATTTCTTGCAGACCTGTAATGAGATCATCTGGCTCTTCACACAACCACCAACACTATCTCGTGTCCTGATGTAGCAAGGGAAGCCTTATTTCTTTGCAAACCCTCACAAGAAAACCTGTAGTGAGAGAAACACAGATGCTGCCACTGATGATCTCCTTCTGAAAATACTAACTCCCTGGCACTCAATTCTTTTAGCCTCTAACCCAGAACAAGAATGCAGCAAGTGAAGTCGGAGCCCATGACCTACATACTTGATCCTTCTCAGTGTCACAAGTCTGAGTCAGCATGACAGCAGTACAACTATCATTTGAGATGTCACCAATGGCAGCCTCCACATTTCTTTCATTACAGGTTTTTAAAACATACGCATAGTCTATCGGAACTATAATACACTTAATTTTTTTTATACATACATCTTTAGAGAAGAACTCTGGGCAGTTACAAAATTAACCCTTGCAGTGGGGCTACCCTCACACAGCAAGGGTTAATTTTGCAACTGCCCAGAGTTCTTCTCTAAAGATGTATATATTAGACCTTTTTTCAAAGGTCTAAAATTAAAAAAGATACTCACCGGAGCCTCAATCCTGCAGCAGAAACTGCTCACCTCTCTCCCCCTCAACTCTAGCGGTGGAACGTTCCTCAGCGTCCTCGCATCTAATGCACTGCATTAGACGTGATGACGCACGGATACTTAGACCGCCGGATGGAGATAGTGGCTATGGGGACTGGTCTAGCAGCCAGCCAGGATCAGGTGAGTGTATCTTTTTTGTATTTTATACCCTATACCAAAACAAGCACTTAACCCATGCAGTGCAGGGGTAGCCCCACTGTAAGGATTCATATTGTAACTGCCCAGAATGCTTCTTAATCAGATCAACTCAATGTAAATATTCGTATACATGTGTGACAATGTGCTCCAAAGCCTTGTTTCCAGGTACAGTTACCTTTATCTCACGGTTGACTCAAAGCAATCAACACTCTATAGCAATGCCTGGTAGTCAGACTATGTAATGGTTAAACTGGGAGCAGGGACAGCAGTTCTCAGCCAAAGTAATAATCTGATATGGAAATGCTGACATTTATTTTTAGTCAAGTGTGAAATGTAATGATAAGTCCTAAGGTAGGGTAGATAGACAGCAGCTAGAACATAAATACTGTATGGTGGTTTTATGTAGAATGATTGGACATGTACAGATAAACTGGCACATTCAGACCCTCTGAAGACACCATGGAGCCAGCATTATCTTAGGGTATCAGTAAATGGATTAAAAAGTCCACACCAGTTGGTCAATTCTTTCCCTGAAATCAGTCAATCTAAAGCTGGCCACAGACCTTACAACCATCACAAGACTTTTGTCTTGCGATGGTTGTAAGGTAATTTAAAAAACGTACCATCTGCCCATCTTGGACAGGCAGCTCGTACTTGCGATAATCGCAAGCCCACCTCCCACTGAGGGGCGGGCTTCCGATGACCGCACTGCTGAACGGTCAGTGTGCGCTTGTGCACACCTGTCCGTGCGGCATTTATCTTACGAACATGCCACACACCCGCCGACAATCGTACGATTCGACGGGTTTTCGAGCATGTTCCTAAGATAAAAGGCGTGCGACCGTACAGTAGAAACGGTTGCACGCCTTCCACACACCTTGCGATAATCATACGATCACAGGATTTCCCGTGATTATCGCAAGGTGTGTGGGCACCTTAAGGTATCTGGAAAAACCTGATGACATGCATTATCCAATCTACAGGTGAAACTCAAATAATTAGAATATCGTGCAAAGTTCATTTATTTCACTAATGCAACTTAAAAGGTGAAACTAATATATGAGATAGACTCATTACATGCAAAGCAAGATAATTCAAGCCGTGATTTGTCATAATTGTGATGATTATGGCTTACAGCTCATGAAAACCCCAAATCCACAACCTCAAAAAAGTATATTATTACATGCAATCAATAAAACAAGGATTGTACATAGAACAATATCGGACCTCTGAAAAGTACAAGCATGCATATGTACTCAGTACTTGGTTTGGGCCCCTTTTGCAGCACTTACTGCAATTACTTTTGCACGATATTCTAATTATTCGAGTTTCACCTGTAACCATTACCATTCAGGCCTGAGGTACCTTTACATTCACTAACCTGAAATGAAGCTTAAACAAGTCTAAAGATGACCACATTCTGCAACATACCCGTTTGATCAGCAGATTTGTGAGGTTCTGGAGTGTATTCACAGTATAGGTCTTCATAAGATGCATAGCTTTAGACAGACATTGCTTAAACTTTGCTAAGTAAACAGGATAATCTTTATAATTAGGCTGCAGAGTGAAATAAACAGGAAGAAAATATTAAAGGGTGTCAACAGAAAAATGCATGTTATGTTTTTTTGCTAAAAATCATGCTGTATTCCATAACTTCTGCAGCAGTTGCCCATGCCAACCAATCAGCTTCTCTCTTTCATTTTCAAAGCTTGACTGAACAAAAGGAAAAGAAAAGCTGATTGGTTGTCATGCACAGCTGCTCCAGATTCTGTCTGCTCCAATGTTGATAAATTCCCCCCAATCTTGATTATAATATCCCTTATGGTATTTTTTTATAATTGCATTCTTGTGAACTACTGTATATACTTTTAATAATACAAGATTAGTTTACAGTTAGCTAGTGTGCATATTATCATGTGAAAGTATATACGATACATTGATACCTAGGGACCAGGGTTCTTGCAAGACCAGAGTCCTGCAATGCTTAATGAGATTTTTAGTTTCTTCACAGCTGGAGGGCCAAAGTTTGCTTACCCCTGCTATAGATCATCACCCAGCAACATTTCTATATGAAGAAAGTTTTGAGGTGTACATTGAAACCTAGAGAGGTGAGGTAACGTAAAATACTGAATGCTTCACTTGCTATTTATTCGACACTCGTCGAATTCCGGCCGTTTTTTAATGTACCGGCTGAAATTCACACAGTGTATGAGGCTGTCAGCTCACTTTTAGCGGGCATTTCCCGATCAACTTATCAAAGGCTCCTGCTGGAAAATTTTCGCGCAATTAGAGTCGGCAGCCAATGAGTTACATTACAATGTAAACAGCGGGATTCCTCAAATCGACACTCTGTTTGTATTGATGGAGGAATCGGGTCAATTGTTTTCGTTCAGCCCGCGCGTTGAACGAAAAAAAAATGTTATGTTCATATGCTAAAGTCCACCTCAATGTTAGGAACATGTTATGTTCATAGGCTAAAGTGCACCTCAATGCACAGTGCGTGCTGTGGTGCATTGCAGTGAAAATAAATAGTGCAGGAGCAATTTGTGCTGTGTTGGGACCCATTCCAAATGAACAGGCTGCAGAAAAGCAGGACACCACAACATATGATAAAATGTGTTGCTGCGCAAGAGCTACCGCAGTGCAATATGATGTAAACAGGCCCTTAGTATTTGGTGTGTACTTTCCACTCTGTACAGTGTCTGCATTCTAAATGGCTGCCATTGGTTACTGCAATTCTACAATCTCGGTCATCACATTGATATATTATTGTTTTAATTAAAGCCGACATTACACGAATATGGACAATGTCATTCACATTGTTATTAATAAATCTAAAAAGACAGCTACTTAAAAGGAGAACTATGAGGGGAGTGCTTTTCAATCACCTCATAGTTCTGCCGAACTGTGACAATGAGACTGTCACGGGTCGGCTCAGTAGATTGGGAAGTGAGCGAACACATACCGGCGTTCGCTCACTTCTCGACCCTGTCACGGCTCTCTGCCATGACAGTGGAGTGGCTGGATTCCCCCCTCCCCGCTCCGATCCTCCAGCGCTGACTGGTGGAACGGACGAGGGAGGGGGCGGGTACAGCTGGCTCTGCCTCTAGATAGGCAGAGCCAGCTGTCACTCACGCAGCTGGGCAGATCCAGACATAATTGTAGCTCGCGGTATACTGAGCTTAGGGTGAAAGGAGGACGCTAGTTTGTGTCCTCCCGTTACCCTAAGGAGAACTATGGGGAAAAGCCCTAACCCCATAGTTCTCCTTTAAAAAACAAAATTGAAGATTGAGATTGAAAATAAATACATTGGAAACGTATACACAATATAACAAATATCTGTATAAAATAAGTCAAGGCAACTGGACTTGCTGTATTTTTTACTTTATTTTTTTGCCTTGACTTATTTTTTACAGATATACCATGACCTGGATGAATGACAACCTTCACAGACAATATAACAAATAGTTTGAGAATACCTGACCATCACACCTACACTACATCATCAACAGTATGTGGATACCCTACCAACAATTGAGTTACAGCGTTTCCACTGAAGGATACGGTTACTGCTAACTCAAACAAAGACATTTTAGACAATAGTGTGCCTCCAATTATGTGGTAACAGTTTAGGGAAGTAATTTTCTGTACCAGCATTAATGTACGCCTGTGTATAAACACATAGTTTGAGGAGTCTGGTGTGGAGGAACTCAACCCTACTGAAAACATTTGGGATGAATTAAAATGCTGATTGCCAGCCAGGTCTTCTCGTATAACACCAGTAACTGACCTAAAAAAATGCGGAGATTGAGCAGACATTCCCATAAGCACATTCCAAAATCTTGTGGAAAGCCTTCCCAAAAGAGCAGAGGCTGTCATAGACGTAAAGGAGCAATTCCATATTAATAGCCATGGTTTTACAATGGGATGTCCAACAAGATCATAAAGATGTGACAACCATAAACCTTTGGTCACAGAATGTACTACAGAACTATATATTCAAACATTATATGAAATATTACATAAACATCTGTAGCGTTAGATCCAAATCACTGTTGCTGCTAGTCTAAGGAGATTTGGTGGATATCACAACTGTGCTGCTCACTGTTCTTACTGGAGGCTCTGCCATGAGGAAGCAAAGCCCTGCCTCTACAAAAATGACTGGCACAGTGCAGAACAAGGCATGGGAAGGCAGTAATGGGGGTAGGTCAGCTGCAGGAGGCCACTGGTAAAACTGCTGACTAGTCATTTGCCCTGTGTCAGCCTTTTTTTTGGACACAGCTTCCAGACTTCAGTTTCGCATTACCCGTTTCCTACGAGAAAGAATTAGGTTAAATTACCCAGGAAACCAGAAAAACCAGAATGTCTTTATGTCACTGGACAAAAGGTTGGAACATACATAACCAGAAAGGAGAATCACAAAACATAATAACTTTAACTTACATGTGCGGAAATATAAGATATGCAGTCATCCAGCTTTGATAGCATGGGTATAAATCCTTCACTATTCACAGATAATGTCGGGGAATTTAATTTCTACAGGAAAAAAAAAAGAAACAGTTACACAAGGATTATTCAAAATAGAGTTGTGAGCTGAAAGGTGTAGAACTACAAGTACTCTGGTATCAGCTGCATCTGCGCAGTTTGTGCATGCTGGGTCTTAGTTGGTTGCAGCCAGAATTTGGCCAGTGTATGGGGGCGGTCTGCTCCCTTTCAGCCGGTATTCCTTGATCAGCTAATCGAAGGAGCCGTCTGGAAAATCATTGTGCGCCAATGAGCTGCCCGCTTTAATCGGATATTCTGACAGGTGCCGGCAGCACCTGTCAGAATACGGTACTATGTAAATAGTACCGTAGCAATTCCGCGAACGGCACGCTGTATGTGTTGGAGCAGGGGCGCCCACTATTTTTCATCTGGGAGATCTACTTTTCAAATGACGAGCTCATTGAGATCTACCAACGAAAAAACACCTGCATTCAGGGGCGGGAGGGGGCGTAGGCTGCGCAGGCAGGCCCCTCGCCCACAGTGCGATCGCCTGCATTAGTGCCTGTGTTCCAGTCCAGTGCGATCCGCAAAAATGCTGCGAGCACTATTTTTGCAGATCGCACTGGACCGGAATGCAGGCACTAATGTGCCTGCGTTCCGAGTGCGGGCGATCGCAATGTGGGCGATGCCATTGACTTCAATACAGCTCCACACCCCCTCCCGCACCTGAACGCAGGGAGTCGGCCGGCTTACATTCCAGTGCGCCCTACAGGTCCCGGCGTCCTGTCCTCCCGTGGTGCTCGTGTGGCCGACGTTGCACATGGGGTGTCCTGCACCTTTCCATCTGCAGCGTCTGACACATTCAGCCGGCAGCCGCACGAGCACCACGGGAGCATAGCCGTAGCCAGCTCCTTTTGCGCCTGAGGCAAGAAAAAAAAACAAAGTTTTTTGATATATATTTTTTACTATTTTTTGTTTTATTTTCATTATTTATTTTTATTTATTTTAAATGTTCATAATTTTTTTTTTTTACTCTTGGGGGGGCTTCGGGGAAATATTAGGGGTCTAAAAAGCCCCCTGATATTTCCCTTTTAAAATAGAAAAAGAAATTGAGGACACATAGTCCTCAATCTCTTTTTCTGCAGTCTCTATTCTAAATGAATGGAAAGCACAGAGGCTTCCCATTCATTCAGAAAATATTTACTATCAAGCAGTTTCTGAATGGGGAGGAGCCTCTGTACAGAGTGCTTCTCCCCATTGAGAAACTCATGCATGAACGGGACATGATGTAAATCACATCCTGTTCATTCATTTATAACTCGGGACACATAGTACGCTGTGACAGAACGGACGAGCAGTGAGGGGAGAGAGAGGTGCCGGCTGTCAGATCCTGGCCGAGCGTCTCTCTCTCTCCTCACTGCTCTGCATTAGTTAGTGACAGCGGCTCCGTCCTCCGCCCTCCCCCGCCGCCGGTTCCTTCACTTCTTCTCGGATCCCCGCTGGGGAGAGCAGCGGGGATCCAGAGAAGCGGCGGGAGGAGAGGACATGGCGACCCCTGTGTTGGAGGAATCACGTCAATTTCTTTCATTCAGGCCGTGGGTTGAACGAAAAAAGAAACTGACAGGTGTATGGCCAGCCTTACAAGGGGTCCCCTTCCTCCTGTGGGATTTTAATGTATTTTGTTTTATATTTTGGAGAACACAATAGTAGGGGTTTGAACACCCACATTGTAGGGGGAAGAAGTAAGCCTCTAGGGTTTTTCTGTGCTACAGTCCCCAAGAGATATAAAAAGGCCAGCAAGTGTCCTTTACTATACCAGTCCACAAAACTAACTATAAAACCTAAAATAGACTTTCAGAGAGCCTCTTCTGATAACAGAATACTGTATGTGTATACATACATACATACATACATAAACAAACACCACTTAATAAAAATGTTAACATTTCTTTTAAAAGTTTACAAGTCTATAAAATCATTATTAGAAAGTTTTTTTTAATTATTTAAATAAAATCATTCTTTTTAAAGAAAATTAGAACACAGAGTACATCCATGAAAGTCAGTTCACAGAGCATGTGGGGGCTTTCAAATATGAAAGTCTGACCATGTCTGCAAGCTGGTTGGCAGTCTGTGTATAACTGAGCAGGAATGACTGTCCTATTTCTGCTAGAAGTGAGGGAGGGGTGTATCATTTCTATGTGCCATTCAGTAGTATCATTTAACTTCTCCCAAAACTTCCGTTTATTTTACAGAAAATTGCACAGAAAGTAGGTGCTATAGTTAGGAGATTGCCACATGCTAGTTGCAATTAATAAATATAAAATATCAATATGTGTTACTTAACTGTTTTTTTTTGTTGTTTTTTTTTTTTTTTTTTTTACACAAAACAGGCACTGCAGATCTATTCTGCCCAATTAACTATGCCAACTAAATTTTGAACGGAGCAAACAAAAACATACTTACTGTACTTATATTTTCTAACTCATTAAAATAGGAAAGTTTCTGTTGGATGCTTTCAGCAAGGTTCACAAGCTCAGACTGGAGAAAAAGAAATAAATCACGTCACTGATAGCACCTCACCCAGGTAAGAAAAAAATTTCACTACATTTCTGTTATAGTTAAATGTGCTGGAAGTTCCATCAGTCAAGCAAAACACACCATAAAGAGGTGCTTTGGCGAGGCGGTGCGGCTTTCACATATTCTGCAGAAGGTGTGCATCTAAAGACGTGTATTTAAACCTCTGTTTTTAACCTTAGTGGTGAGACAAGTTTTTTTGCACGCTGGCGAGTGTGCTGGGAAACTTTTTGCTGTTGGAAGTTCCATCAGGGTACGGCAGAAAAACCTCCTGCCACGATCCTGCAGATGATCAGTGATAAGACCGGGTTTCCAGAAAAATGCTGACAATATTTCTCCAAATGCCATCACTGAACTGGGACAGTTTTATGCATAACTGTTATTCCTCTGTTGTGTAATGGTACAACCAGCAATTACCTCAAAAATACCACTGGAAAGCCAGCAAATTATAATAGCTCTCATCTATCAAATCATCAATACTAAGAACTGTCCGTGTTGTCTATCCACAACCATTAAGACGTAAACCCAACCTTTGAAAAGCCCGCTGAAATCTGAATCTGATGAGGGGCTGGTAATTAGCAGAAATATTTATAATATAAAAACATCATTAATAAGAAAGTTTTCAAGGTGGAGCCTCAGGCAACATCCTTTTTCTGAATTCTGGATAGAATGGTAAAGATTCAGAACTTCTGTCAAGTTTAGACTGCTGTCTGGGCTCCTACTAGAAACATTTCTCCTCACTTTCTGGCCTAGAGACATGACCGGAAGCAAGAGG